CCTGGCTTTTAATCCCCTTTCTCTTGCACTTCCCACCTGCTGCTTTGGGCGTCCCTGAGTTGTCTCTTCTCATCTGTATCCCTGGGGCTGACTGCTCTTCTGTACATGTTCCTGGCTTTTAATGCCCTTTCTCCTGCTCTTCCGGCCTGCTGCTTTGGGCGTCCCTGAGTTGTCTCTCCTCACCTGTATCCCTGAGGCTGACTGCTCTTCTTTTTTTTAAAGGTGTACAATTTATTGACAACAATTGTAACAATCAGCTTCGCAGCCCTACCCTTAATCATGAGCTATTTCCATCACCACTAACCTCCCCTTTTCCCCTCCCTCCCAATGCTGGGTAACCACTAAGAAACTTTGTTCACTATATGTTTGCCTTTTCTGGCCTTTTTATAAAAGTGAGGTCATTCAATAATTATCCTTCTGTGATTGACTTATTTCACTCTGCATAATGTCTTCCAGCTCCACCCACATTGTACCATGAATCAAGACTTCATTCCTCCTGCTGGCTGAGTAGTATTCCATATTTTGTTTATCCACTCATCTGTTGATGGGCATTTAGGTTGTTTCTACCCTCTGTGAGGTTTCAATGGCTGATTTTTCAGAATTAGATCATGAGACCTTTTTTCTGAAGCACCTCTGGGTGGACTCGACCCCAGGACCTTCTGGTTAGCAGTGAGTGCATTAACCGTTTGCATCACTCTCTGCAATTATCTTGTTGGAATGTGCTATACACTCCCAGCTAGGATCCTGACCAATACACTCTACCTGTGAAGTGTAACAGTCCTTCCTGGTCCCCCTCCCACTAAGCTGCCAAGAGGAGGCCAGACCTGAGGGGCTTCTTCTCCAGCTCACACTGCAGGTGGCTCTGAGCAGTCAGTAGGCCTATAGCATTGCAGGGAGGTTCAATAGGCCTGAGTACTGGCAGTGAGGTTCAGGGCTCTGCTCAAGAACACAATCTACAGAGAGGTTAGTAAAGTCCATTACACAGAACTTAGTGTACAGACTGCACTCTTATTGACAGCTCACAGCATGGGAGGCTGAGGTGAGAAAGTACTCTTAAGGTTGGACACAGTTCTCGCCTTGGGGCTGAGGCTGTTCAGGTGTGTTTGTGGTTAGAGGGCATCTAACCCTCTTCTACATGTCCACAGTGGGAAACAGAGGTGCTCCCAGAGAGCACAGGACCCAGGCTTTCTGCTCGCCCAGCTGAAGGCCCACCTTTCTAGCTTTCCAGAAGAGGGCCTGGAGAGGAACCCAGGGCTCTTTCTAAGATGTCTGCATGGTTCCTGGTTCCTTCTCCAGCTGAAAACGATCATGGAGCAACAGAAACTTTAGCTCTAGCTCTATCCCCATGGCACTCCACTATAAGCCCTGGTGGGAGTCCACTGCCTGCTGTCTGGAGGGCAGTGAACACTACCCCACCCCAGGAAAGCAGAGATGAGCTGCTGCCCTGACCTATATTGGCCGGTCGGCACCAAGACCCTGCGTGCTAGGGTGGCCCTGGGCACTCTGCCATCAGAATTGAGCTTCCCTGAGGACTCCTAGGTCTTCCAGGATGAAGGGTACTGTTCCATTCCCCCTTCCACAGATGGGAATGGCTGGCTGAGTTCCCCACTGTGGGGATGAGATGTCCTGGAACATCCTCATTCTCTTGGTTACCTCCTCCCTTGCAGAGACTGGAGCTCTGACGACGTGTGCTGGGCAATCAGCTCAGCCTTGGATGGGGTCAGGGGTCAAGGTTTGGCCAGGGAAGAAGGAGATACAAGTAAAAAGGAGCTTGTGCTCATTACCATTTTGTAAAGCACTAACAACTTCACTAAGGAGCCCTGGTGGCACAATGGTTAAGCACTGGGCTGCTGATTGAAAGGTTGGCAGTTCGAACCCACCAGTGGCTTCACAGGAGAAATGACTTAGCAATCTGCTCCTGTAGAGATTACAGCCTTGGAAACCCTCTGGGGGCATTTCTAATCTGCCCTATAGGGTTGCTATGAGTCAGAATTGACTGGACAGCACATAACAACAAGCAAGTTCACTTTCAAGACCACTTTCACAGTGTGCTTCCCTAGCCAAAGCCTTTAAGGGTTCCCTGTTGAGCACACATTGCATTCAAAGCCCTTTCCAGGCTGGGCTCCAATCGCCAATGCTCAGCTTTATCTCCCCTGCTCCTGCTCTCCAGCCAGAGCAGCTAATGGACAAGATGATAAAAGGGAACATTTGCACAGCGATTCTCACACCGAGTCCCCTCAATTCTAACAGCTACCCTCTGAGGTCAGGTTATCACATGTCCATTTTGCAGATGAAAAAATAGGTTCAGAGATGTTAAGCCACTTGCCTAAAGTCACGCACCCAGTAAGTGGTAGAGGCACACTTTGCATCTGGGTTTCTGCTTCCAAATCCTCTACTCTGCCACTCTCCTCACAGTCTATGGGACATCCCAAAGGTATGTCCTAGCCTGTGACAAACAATTTAATTGCTGGAATGCCTGAGGATGGGGCAGAAGGGTCCTATCTTCATCAACCAGGATCAACTAAGCCAAATTCTACAAGTCAAAAAGCACTCTTCCAGCATACCTACTATGTGCTGGACAGAGATGACTAAGTCACCAAAAGGTTCATGCTCCCCTTCCATTGTGAAGAGGAGACTTAGTTGTGAAGCAGCAGTCAAGCCAAGGACTACATTTTCCAGTTTGCATCTATGTTGGGCCACGTGGCTGAGTTCTGGCCAATGGATGAGGGCGGAAGTAATATTTGCCACTTTTAGGTCTGGCCTTTAAAAACTTCCCTTGTAATTCTCTATACCAGCTTTTCTCTGAAAGGATTTAGCCTTACCAAAATGATTTTAGTGAGTGTTTTCTCAAGTCTCCCAAGAATGGTACATACTTAGGACCATTCTAAATGCCAAAGAAATAAGTTAATTTATGATGTACAATGCTTCATTCTCTGAGAGCTGAGTTGAGAAAGCTTGCTTGCATTCCTAGTTCCTTATCTGTTGGCTACATGTTGATGCCCAAAGACACTTTGGAAGCTGCTGGTTGAGTGTGCCTGTCAGCCTGGATTCTGGAATGACCACATACCAAAAAACCAACAAAACACCACCACCACCACCAAACTCACTGATGTGGAGTTGCTGTTAACTCACAGTAAACCTATAGGATAGAGTACAACTGCCCTGTAGGGTTTCCAAGGCTGTAAATCTTTAAGGGAGCAGACTGCTACATCTTTTTCCCATGGAGTGGCTGGTAGGTCTGAACCACCAACCTTTCAGTTAGCAGCCAAATGCTTAACCACTGTGCTACCAGGGCTCCTACTCATATTAATAAATCTATCAAATGACTACATAGCAGGACTTTATATGAACAAGGAATAAGAAATTTGAATTGAGTCAATCCACTGACATTTTGGAGTTTATTTGTCATAGCAGCTAATGTTATCTTAAAACTAATGCAGGGAGGAGAGAGAATAGGTTAAGAAGAGACTCACTGAAATGTTAAGTCAAAGGATGGGATACAAATTCCAACCTACGCAGGGGGCTTGAGGTGATTTCAGGGAGGCTCTTGACAGGCCCCATCTGATCCACCTTTTTCCACAGCCTAGGGGGTTCCCTTATGCAGCAATCGTAGCGTAGTGGTTAATGCATTAGGCTGCTAACAAAAAGGTCAGTAGTTTGAATCCACCAGCTGCTCTGTGGGAGAAAGATGAGGCAGTCTGCTTCTGTAAAGATTGTTGTTGTTTGTTGTTATGTGCCGTCGAGTCGGACCCGACTCATAGCGACCCCTCCTCGGGTTTCTGAGGCAGTATCACTACAGAAGTAGATTGCCCCATCTTCCTTCTGAGGAGTGGCCGGTGGGTTTGAACCACCAGCTTTCTGGTTAGCAGTCAAGTGCCTTAAACACTACGTTACCAGAGCTCCCCTGTAAAGATTACAACCTTGGAAACTCTATGAGACATTTCTACTCTGTCCTATAGGGTGGCTATGAGTCAGAAGCAACTCGATGGCAGTAGTTGTCTTTTGTTTGTTTGTTTGTTGTGTTAGGGGGCTTCTAGGTCTTGTGTGGGGCCTATGAGGGATGAAGTCTCCAGGTCCTGTGAGCACTGAGCCATAGTGAGAAGGCCTCAGATGGGCTACAACTGAGCAAGAAACAAAACCAAGAATGGCTAGTCACAACTGACAGAAGGTGTAAGAATTGTCCAGTGAGGTTAGCATAGCGATGAGAGCCTGCCCCTTAGGTTCAGCAAGATAGCCCAGAAGCCTGCATCAACAAGCTCTGATGCTGCCAGAGTATGGGACCGATAATGTGCTCCATTCCACCCAGGAGGTTTATATAAGACTATCCCAGAGCCCAGCAGCCCAGTGCTGCAAGACCTGTCTGTGGGTTCCTCATCAAACAGACGGAGCAGTGGGGTCCAAAGAGGAATGGCTTGCTTAAAACTACACACAGTGAGTGACCATGGGAGCTGGGCCCTCTCCGGCCCATCTTGGAGGAAGGACACAATGGACAGCAGGCCTATACACTTCCCATAAGCCCCACTACTGCTGACCAGCCCCTCCTGGTAACGATCTGGAAGTCAGTTCATTCTGCCGACTTTCTGCACCCTTGTCCCCACCCAGACCCAGCAGTGGTGCCTCCAGGGCCGGTGGAGCAGGTTCGCTGTTACACAGCTGCTCTTAGGGCCTAGTTCTCCAAACTCAATGGGGAGATTCTAGGGTGTATCCCAGCCTCAGGTTCCCAGAGTTCACAGGAAGGAGCTCCTACATGCAAAAATATATGTCGTGAATGCTTCAAGAGGCCAACAGTAACCATCAGAAACAGCGGAAAGCAAGAAACCAAAGAGAGAAAACCGCGGGAAAACACTTGTTGGGCGCCCCAAGTGAAATCCCGAGTCTACGCATGTGCAAATACTTCACGAGGCCGCCCCCTGTGCGGAGACCCAGCCCCCCGGGGGCGCCTGCCGCAGACCCCGCCCTCTCCCGCGCCTGCGCGCCTCGCTCCCGGCGCCCGCCCTTACCCGAGCGGTGCCTCTGGCGCAGAAGGACAGCCTGGCCTGGTGGCGGGGATGCTGACGAGGCAGCGGCAGCGGCCGCGACGGTGGTGGTGGCGGCGTGGGTCGCGGAGGCAGCCGCCGCCTCGGGGACTCCGGGACCTGGGGCACCGGGCGGGCCCCCAGGCGGCGGCGGGCTCTTGTCTCCTCGCCCCGGCTCAGAGGTGGCACGGCCCACGGCGCCGGTGGTGCCTGCGGCGTTGGCGTTGGCGGCGCTGGCGGGGCCGTGGCGGCGCGGGCCGCTACTCTGGATGTGGGACACGGCCTCAGCAGCCTGCATGTTGGGCGGCGCGAAGCGCGAGAGCACGCGCAGCAGCGCCTGGGCCTTGTGCTCTTGCGTGTCGTCGTCGCTGTAGTCCGACACGCGGCACTCGTACACGCCCTCGTCCTGCCGCCGCACTGCCGACAGCCGCAGGCGGTGCGAGATGTCATTGCCCTGGACGCGCACGGTCTGCAAGAGAGCGAGAATGGGGCGGTCAGAGGCCTGGCTGGGCTCTCCAGGGACCGCTCGCCGGCCTGCGCTGTGCAGCCTCTGCCTTTGCACTTCACTCCTCGCGCCACTTGCCCGACCCTGTCATAAGCTTTCCTTTCACTCCATGTCTACCCTAGAGGCATGGGTCCCCCACTCTGCTTGGACCCTGCGTCACCCTTCCCATTTTGCTTTGTACCCTTAGTTCCCTACCTTAACCAAATGTCCATCTGGTATCCCCTTCCTCTCCAGACCTAAGCTTCATTCTCCCACAGCTTTCCTTTCAGAGCCGCAGAACCCACCCCTCCTTCCTTCAAGAGACCTCAGGCTCCAGTCTCCTGCTTAACCGTCCCACGTCTTTCCAGCTTCCGCAGCGACGTTCTACAGACCACATCGCCTTAAGTCCTGCCCTCCACATCTCCCCACACCGAGGCTCCTTTTCTAGAATCTGGAGAGCCTGAGTCGGGATCGCAAGGAAGGCCTCTACGTTCTCACAGTCCATGTATATATGTAACCCCTGCTCCCAGTCCTTCACAGCTACTTCTCTGCCTTCCCAAGGAGGCAGGGGAAGCTACGGGTGCTTCAAGCCCCTCCTCAGCTGCCAACTACCGTAATTGCCCTTTCTAGCTGCCATCTGAAGCCCCGAATGAAGCGCTCCTCCCCAGTGGCCTGGTTGAGAATAGGGGAGAGAAATCCTCTGTAGCCCTTACCAAGCACCCAGGGAAACCCTCACTTCTGAACTGAACCCACGAGGAGGCCCTGGTTGTCTCCAGGTCCTTATAATTTCACGTTCCAATCAGGGGCGTTTGAATGCATTTCCTGCCAGATATGAACCCCACAAGCTTGGCCCCGCGCATTTGGGTAAGACTGCCCCCTCGCGAGCCTAAAATACCCAGCACCAGACTGCAACCTAGGCCGCAGAGAGGGCTGCAGCGCGGAGAGCGGTGTGTGTTGGTGAGGGCAGGGAGAAGCCCACCAGCAGGAACACCCCTCGCCGCTAAGGCGAGGAGAAGCGCGCTCCTGCTGGGAGAAATGCCTGCAGAGCAAGCAGAGGCCAGAGCGCGCCGTCCCGAAGAATGAGAATTTTATAGGTGATCACCAAGCCGAGGAAAAGGACTCAGGCCTCGGCCCTTGATTTATATGATAGAGAACCCGACGCGACAACTAGCGACAAATGGCGCCCCGACAAGCCAAGTAGCCGAAAATGCAAGGCAGAGAGCAGGACCCAGTACCGCACGGCCGCCGCCGCTTTCTAAAGGGGAGGGAGCTGCGGGACGCGAAGCGGCCGGAAGAGGTCTCCCGAGGCCCATGTTGGGCTCCACACTTACGCTGATTTTAGTTGCATCCTTATTTGTTACCTAAAACGCAAAGAGGAAGAGAGGCGTTAGGCTCCCGGGCCCCGGAAACTCGGCTTCACCTTCTGCAAGGGTACCATCCACGGACAGGCTGGAAATCCGAAACTGGCCGGGGTGGCAGGGGCTATGGGCACGAAGGACACGGGCTTCCCAGAATTTTCACCCGGAAGCGGGGCTTGGAGTTGGCGTGTGAGAGGAGAGGCTGCCAAAGCACACAATTGCCAATCGAGGAGGGGAGGCTGGATTGCCACCAGGGTGGGAAGGCAGGCCCGTCTCTCTGGCAAGGCGCATTCTCATTCCCTGGTCCCATTCCTCCAAATTCCCAACATGTACCTCATCCTAACTCTGGCCCTGAAAAGCTGGATGGAGGGGTAGGTGTCTGGACTAGATCCACTGGTAGACTGCCAGCTTCCAGGTGGGGGCAGGTAGGCAGGTGTATGTTTGCTGTGCTAGAGTGTGGGGTTATCGAGGAGTTAGCAATGTGGGCCGGTTTTCAGCTGCAGGGAAGCCGCCCCTCCAATCCTTGGGGGCTGTGGGTGACCTGCCAGCTTCCTTTGTACACTGGCTGCTTTGGTGGCCTCTGGAACTCAGTACAGAAGAGCTTAACTTGACCTTGTGCTCTAGGGACCCTCAGCATAGCAGAGGACAGGGAGAGAGGCCCAGGGGACCAGGTGGTCTTCCTTGTCACCTAGCCGGCACCAGAAGCTATGCCGGCAGCCATAAAGAAAAAAAAAAAAAGTGCAGGGGAACTACTTGAGGCGTGGATTTTTAGGGTCTGGGTGTGAACCACTTCGGGGAGGTTTCTGGAGAAGGACAACTCAAGAGAATTGACAGGGTTTGGGGTTAACTAGGGGAGCTATGGTGGTGTAGTGGATAAGGCATTTGGCTGCTAATCATGTCAGTGGTTCAAACCCACCAGCCACTCCGCCGAAAGAAGATGAAGCGATCTACTTCCGTAAAGATTTACAGCCTCGGAAACCCAGTGGGGGTCGCTATGAGTCGGAATGGACTGGATGACAGCGAGTTTGGTTTTCTGGTGTGTGGTTAGCCAAGGCTGATGTTGAAGATGCTGTGGGGATGGAGAGGATGAGAGATGCGCAGCGCCACAGGGCGGCGCCCTATGTCCGCAAACCCGTCTGCCTCCTTCTCTGGGGTTACCCCCCACCGCTCCCGGCCAGAGCCGGGTGAGCCCAGGCGCCGCGTGGGCGGCTAGTTACCTTGCTCCGGGCGCCGGGCACACTGAGCGCCAGCTCGTGCAGCAGCTCCCGGGGCGGCTCTTTGAGGTACCACCACTGAATCTCCAGCGAATATGAGGTGGCTCCGCTGGCCCGGAACGCGCAGGGCATTTCGATATCGTCTCCTTCCCGCACTGTCACATCTTTGGGGACTTCGGTGAATGTAGCTGGGGGCGGGGAGAGAGAGGCGTGACCAGCTGCGGGGCGGGGGCCGGGGGCAATCGAGGCAAGGCAGTCGGTCCCCTGCGCGCTGGCCTTGCGCCTCCTCCCCCAAGCCACACCGTGGCCCGCGGCGGGAGGCGCTAGTAAAGTTCGGTCGAGCAACAGCAGGGTCGCAGCAGAGACCGACCACTGGCTGCAGGCTGCGTCCCTCACGATCCGGCTGGGCGGTGAGGGAGGCTCAACGCTTCTCCCCCGCGCCCGGCAGCACCACCAGAGCAGGGCCGAGGCGAGCCAACTCTTACGCTCTGCAGGCCACCTCTCTGCAGCGGAGCCCCGGCTGGGTTCAGAACGACCCGAGCGAGGGTGCTGCCGCTGCGGTGCCCCCATCCACTGCTCTCGTCCCCCTGCCCCTCCAGGCCCAGATGCACACCGGGATTGCTGGAGACCGAAGCTTCCCCCTTCTCTTCCTCCTTCTCCACGGCGATTGGGGCAGGCAGGCTCTGGCGGCCCCGACAAGGACCCCCCGCGCCCCCCGCGGCAGCAAAGTTCCCGCGCTCACCGTCGGCCACGAAGAGCAGCAGGGCGTGCAGTAGCAGCTGCGGCAGGTATCCGAGGGCGCCGAGCCGGTTCCTCTGTTCCATCTCCCGCGTGGGGCGCGGCGGCGGCGGGGACCCGGACGCGGAGAGGCGGTGGTGGTGGCAGTGTGGGCTCGGATCCGGCTCCAGATCGGGCTAGGACGTCTCCGAGCCTGCCATGGCCCCGCGCGGCGCCCCCACCCCCGGCCGCCGGCGGCCGCCAATCAGTCCCGCTCCCTCGCCGGCTTGCCCAGCGCGGCTCCGGATGGGGGCGCTGCGCGGGGAGCGCAGAAGGTGAGGTCCCGCCGGGAGGCTACTGTAGATCTTTTCGTGTGTCCCTCCGTCTGGCGGTCCACAGAACGATCGGGATCCGCGGTTCAGTCTCTGCCCGGCGGGCCAGGCAGGAGCCGGGCCGCGCCGGGACCCATCCCTGGCGGAGGGAGCGCGCACCTTGCAGCCGTAAGCTTCTGCCTCGCAATTTCCTTCTGGTTTGACTCCCGACTGTCACCTCCTCCAGCGCCCGCCAAGCTCTCCCGTCGCCGCCCCCGCCGGTCCCTCCGCCGCTTTCTCCGCAAGGCGAGTGGGCGCTCAGCCGCGGCGCGCAGACCTGGCGTCCGACCCAGCGCAGAGCCGGGAGAGCGGGTCCGGCGTGGAGGACCCGGAGCGGGAGAGGCGGGGAGAGAGAGAGGGGGAGGGGAAGGGAAAAGAAAAGGGAGGGGGCGGTCAGTGGCTGGGTGCCAAGCCGCCTCCACCGCTGCACCACCCCCGCCCTCCTCTCCCCTTCTTAAGTGGACACCGCCCCCACCCTGGAGCGTACCCCCCGCGGGGGTCGCTTGGAAGGACCACCACCCTTTCCCTAGTTGGAGTGCAGCCCCGCCCCACCCTCGCTTGGGGAGGGTGTCCTCCCACCCAAACTCAGTCTTGCTTCCTCCCAGTCTCGGTCGCCTGAGACGGCTGTTCATTCCTGCTCCCCGCGTGTCCCGCGGCCCTCTCCGCAGCCCCGCGCCCGCAACTCCTTACCCCGGCTTAGGCAGCGAGCCGCACGGCTCTTTGGCCCAGACTCGGGCCATGGCGGGTGGGTGGGCGCCGGGGCCTGGAGAAGGGCGGGATGCTGTGCCGGGTGGGGGACGACTCCGGGAATCTGCAGTGTGCGTGCGAGAAGTGAGCGCAGAGCGCAGGGCGAGCAGGTGCCTGTGGCGCGGAAAGCGCACGAGCGAGCCACCAAGCAGCGGCCGTGAGTGACGGCGGAGGCGGCGGGGGTGGGGTGGGGTGGAGAGCGCCGGGCACGACTCAGGGCCTGGGAGGTTTCCGGGCGGGGGCGGGGTTCCTGCCCCTCGATGGCTGCCCTCTGCGGCTTCCACCTACCGCTGGTCGCAACCCTCCCCGCCACCCCAGCTTTACTCGGTGCTTGAGGGATCCCGAGGCGGCGGGAGGCAGAGGTGGGGTCCACTGTCGCGTTCCGGAACCCATCCCCCGCCAGCACAGCCCCGCAGCTCGGTACCTCCCCCAGCCTTCACCAAGAGCTTGTCCCCTCTCCAGCCATCTGCAGGAGTGCTCTCTGGTCCCTGAAGGGAATTTGGGGCATGCAATGGACTAGACGGGGCACACACACTGTGGGGTGACTCCTTTCCTCCCCTTCCCCACGAGAGTCCCCAGCCTGTGGATTTTAGTATCTGATCAAGACTCATCCCCTGCCTTGCACCTCAGCTCTGACCTGAGGTAGAGGTGAGGGGATCCAAGCAGGTTCACAGGTCTGCTGTCCCCTGTTCTGGAGGTGCCACCCAGGGGGTTCCCCAGGAGTCAAAGAGAAGGAAACCTACAGGGAAAATACTTTGCTGCAGGCAACCTGGCCCAGCTGCCAGCACACAGCATCAGCGGGAGGAACCGTCAGGCCTGCTCTAATTTTTGTCCTAACCAGCAAGTGACCCTGGGCAACACCTGGCCTTCTTCCTACCCCCTCAGGTCACTGTGGCTCCGATTTTGAGCCTTTGTTCGCCAAGGTCTCTGGCTAGGGACAGGAGGAATGTGTGGGGCCTCCCTCCTCTCCCCAGAGTTCCTTTCTAGGGGTGAGTTAGTTGCCTGGCGTTTCATCCCACAGGTGGGGAGCCTGCCCTTAGAAATACCACTTTCCCTTTGAAACTGCTTTGGACCCATAGCCCACCAATATGAGAGACCCTGTAGGGCCCTACTGCTATCCTCAGCATCCAAAGGGAGGGGGCAGGCTTGCACTGCGCTACACAGATCCAGGACTAGGGTGGGATTCTAGGCAACCAGATTCCCGCATGGCACTGACTCCAAGCTTGGTTCTGATGGCCAGCGTTTACCCAATGTACAGTGGCCGGCCTAGAGAGGCAGTGTTCTCCCTGCTGGGTCCAGCAGAGGCTTGGTGCGTGAGGGGAGAATTTCTGCAGCTAGAACCAAGTTTGTCAATCTTCTAAATCCAGACCGTCTCACAGGGTGAGGTGTTTCTTGTGCACAGCACGAGTTATTATTAATAAGAATAGTAACTAGACTCTATCAAATGCTTTTCATGTACCAGGCAGTGGCTATGCACAACTTCTGCATGTACCACTTCTCAACATGACAACCAAGTGATTCCTCTCAAAGGGAAATCAGACCATTCTTTCTCTGCTCAGTACTCTGCAGTGGCTTCCATTTCACTCAGCATAAACACCAGTGTCCTCTCAAAGGCTGACAAGGTCAAACAATCTGCCTCTCTGTCCTTACTTCACCATCTTGCCAGTCCTTTCCCTGGCTCACACTCCTCTAACCACACTTGGCCCCTTCCTGTGAGGCAATACTCCAGACATGCTCCCACCCCAGGGCCTTTGCACTAGCTGAACCATCTGGCTGGAATGTTCCTCCCCTGGCCACCCCTTGGGTCTTCAGGTTCTTTAGATGTTTGTTGAGAAATTACCTTCTCAGTGAGGCCTATCCAGATTACCCTGTTTAATGCTGCAATCTGCAAACCTTTCCCTCTTGCAGCACTCCAAAATTCCACCCTCCTGTCAAATCCCCCCCCCCAGCACTTACCACCCTTCAACATACTGTACACTATCCTTATTTGTTGTGTTCTTGCTCACGGTCTATATATTCTACTCAGCTGGGACTCTTTGTCTGCTTGTTCACTGATGTATCTCCAGCACCTAGGATAGAGCCTGGCACATAAGAAAATATTTGCCAGCGAATGTATGAACTCATAATAACCCTGTGAGGTAGACATTGTTATTTTACTCCATTTTATAACCAGCTAAGCTCAGAGAGGTTAAGGAACTTGCCCAAAGTCACATAGCTTTAAGTGACCAGATGAGGCTTCAGCCCAGGTCTGTCTAATTCAGGGGCTCTGGTAGCGTAGTGCCTAAGGCAATTGACTGCTAACCAGAAGGCTTGTGGTTCAAACCCATCAGCCACTCCTCAGAAGGAAGATGGGGCAATCTACTTCCGTAGTGATACGGCCTTGGAAACCCAAGGAGGGGTCGCTATGAGTCGGGTCCAACTTGACGGCACATACAACAACAACAACAACAACACTTCTTAATCAAAACACCCACCTCTTCCCTGCTTCAGGTGTAACTTTGGTCCTGGTACCTGGAGTCAGTGTGGAAATCAAAGCCCCTCGGCCCTTGACCAGCTGCAGCCAGGAACAGCCTGAGCTGGTCCCGTAGTCCCTTCCTGCCTGGTCAGCCAGCCTGCCGTGGCTCTGGGTGGAAAGGTCTCTTCTGCCCTCTGTCATATACTGTAAGGGCAGCAGCTTGGTTTTTCTTTGTCTTCATCTCGAAGCTGGTCCTGACCTGTAATTGTTGTTAGCTGCTGTTGAGTTGGACCCCAGCTCAACCCCACACACAGCTAGATCTCTCCATTGTGAGCCATAGGATTGTCAATGACTGATTTTCGGAAGTAGATTGCCAAGCCTTTTTTCCTAATGTATCTTATCCTGGAAGCTCCACTGAAGCCTGTTCAGCATCATAGCAACATACAAGCTTTCACTGACAGAAGGGTAGTGGCTGCACCTGAGGGCATTGGCCGAGACAGCAGGATTCCCTGCACGAAGGAGAGAATTCTGCCATCGAACGTCCACTGCCCTGAACCCATAACTCACTGCCCTCGAGTCAGACCCGACTCATCGCGACCCCTCCTTGGGTTTCCGAGGCAGGATCACTATGGAAGTAGATTGCCCAACCTTTGCTGTTTATTGCTCTGTGCTGTTAAGCATATTCTCACTCAGTGAGTGACCCTGTAGGAACCCTATAATCAAACCAAATTCACTGCCATTGAGTTGATTCCAACTCATAGCGACCGGTTTCCAAGACTGTAAATCTTTATGGAAGCAGACTGCCTCATCTTTCTTCCATGGAGCAACTGGTGGGTTTGAACCACTGAGCTTTTGGTTAGCAGCCAAATGGCTTAACCACGACAACACCACCAGAGCTTCTTTTTAGCTACCCTATAAAAACACCAAAAAAAAAAAAACCCAAACTCACTGCTGTCAAGTTGATTCTGACTCACAGCGATTCCTCCTTGAGTTTCCAAGGTGGTATCTCTATGGAAGTAGATCACTCAGTCTTCCTTCCGAGGAGTGGCTGGTGGGTTTGAACTGCCAGCCTTCTGGTTAGCAGTCAACTGCCTTAGGCACTACGCTACCAGATCTCCCTAGCTACCCTATAGTAGAAGCCTATCTAGGATATGGCAGGTATGGATGTGCACTAGGTGCCACTTTGCGGGGGGACGCCAAAGAGCAGTTTCTGTTTGCCATTGCAATTTCCATCACCAGCTGTGCGAGATCATTCAGCAATTTAACACTAATTGCCATAGGCAATTAGTTCAGTAGATACGCCTCTGCCTATAGGACAGAGTACGGAGCTCCAGTGGTGCAGTGTTTCAAACATTGGGCTACTAACCAAATGGTTGGCAGTTCGAACCCACCAGCCACCCATCGGGAGAAAGACTAGACAGTCTGCTTCTGTAAAGATTTACAGCCTTGAATATCCTATGGGGCACTTCTACTCTGTCATATAGGGTCACCGTGAGTCAGAATCTTGATTTTACTGGGTATATAGGACAGAGAA